TTTTTGCCTTTTCCAAGTGGAAGCTATTTTCTTTTTCCCCCCAAGAGCATTTGGAAACAGCCTTATCAAGCAGTGAAGGAAGGCAGGACCTGGGCCATGACTAAGGGTGGTGCTTGGAAGAGTCTATGCAGGTAAATTTCTGAAGGCTTCACAGAGAGGATGCCTGCTGGGCATTGTGCTTCGTCTGCTGAACTCTCTTGAATGGCCTGAATGCACAAGGCTCATGATCCTCCCTCAAGAGAATGCCCCCCCTCACATCTAGGATGGCTAAGGGGAGAGAGGGAAGGTTAACCATGAGGGAACGGGGCCAGGAATGTGAGAAAAAATGCCAGGGCAAAGCAGAGACTCTTCCTTCCTTCCTTCCTTCCTTCCTTCCTTCCTTCCTTCCTTCCTTCCTTCCTTCCTTCCTGATTTCTTCTTTGTCTGGGGTGAGCTGAGGATAAGAGGGGGGGAGGAGCAGGAAAGAAGGCAGGCAGGTGATTTAAAACGCCTTTGGTGTGTGAGCTGAGCGTGCAACATGTCTCTCCTCTGCCCCCCTCGCACTGGCATGTACAACCATATTAAAGGCACCTTCATAAATCTTCCACAGTGTCTCTTAGATGCTGCCACTTCCGGAGTCCCACATTGTTTCACCATCTGAATCCTCAAGGACGGTTGTGTGAAATGTAAGGGCACCTTTAATTTTGGTGGTTGTGCTGTGTGTGTGTTGACTCCTAACACAAACAGAAAGAAACGGAGCAGATGGTCTGGCCCAGGGAGAGAAAGGTGCTGTGCCTGGAGAGGCAGATCAAGTCACCCCATTAAACTGGAAGCCACAATCAACTGAAAAAGGTGGCGATGTCTGCAATTTCTTAAAACCACATGCCCTCTGTTATTAATAAACCATTCCCTTGTTTCTTTGTAGCAACGGGACTACCCAAGACTTCTGGGTTGCAAATTATGTAAGCTAATTAGCAGGAGGAGCACCTGCTAGTTATAATAATGTGGGTTATTTTATTTTCACAAGGACCATGTGAAGGACTGATGTCAAAGTCTGGTATCACATCAGCTTGATTGCTTCAGTCAGGCCTAGAAACTGCAAGACCTTTCCCATCGAAAGGGCAGCTTCACACATCTGCAGCCCCAGGGCCTGTTTGCCTATCTACAGTTGTATGAATTGCAGCCATCAGCCTCAACAAGATATTGCAAATGAAGCAGATAAATTGTGTTTGTTTGGACAAGTAAACTTGCCCCTCTGCTCTTTCCCTTTCCCAATCTCCTTTCCTTGGGAACACAAACTCCCCATATCAAAGTCAAAGAAACATTTAAGACACAAGGATGTTGCCTGGGATATCAAGAGACAGGAACAGCTGAGGAGGATAAGTTCCCAGGAAAGAAGATCTAATAGAGGAAGGGGCACATCCAAGAGCACAGCCTTTGCTCAATTTAGGGGACCATGATCTTTGGAGTCCCATCCTCCTTGCTTCACTATCCTGATTTCATTGGATTACAGCATAACCAAGCAGTTATGCTGCTGTATTCAATTCCAAATGTATTCTAATTTGCATAACTATATATAGTGGGCTTGTATGCCTGGCTCCTTTTTGGATTCTTGCTCTCCAATCTATGTTTCAATGTGTTTGATCTCCATTACTAAAGAACTCTTTGGAGATACTTCTCCTATAAAAATATATCTGTAATTTAAAAACAACAACAACAACAACAACCCAGCAACTATACAATTTAAATCGTGACCATCACCACTTGAAACCAACATTCTATTTGGAAAAAAACCCTCTGAAAACTGTTTGGAAAAGCAAATGGTTGAAAATGCATAAATCAACCTGAAGTATAATATAGAAATAGTACAGTGATGTTGCTTAACCAAAATTCTTAGTTATAAAACATAGCCCAATCCAGATATTTCCAGTGTGACTATGAAGACTAGAAACTCTTAAAAATACGAATGAATAAAATCTGCAGTTAGCAAAACTCTTCAGTCATGTTTCCTCTTAGCAGGATTTAAATCAATTCTAATTTTAAAACAAACAAACAAAAAACCTCTTTTGAAATAGGTTCAAAACTGCTAACAGCAGTGCCCAGGTGATTACAAGGCACCAGCAGGTTCACACTAAGAGAATCTGTATGACAGCTGAGTTGGAAGTGATTTGCATTCTTTGTACCAATTGCAAGAAGAGGGAAGGCTAGACTGAGGCTTCTCAGAGTTGGAAAAGAGGCAGCAGATCCTCTGAGGAACCAGGGGACCCTTCTCAGGCTTTTTAAAGAACTGGACAGGCTCATGTCTCTCCTCGCGTCCTCACAAAGCTAGTCCTACAAATCCCATGCTTGCCTTAGAATCCCAGTTCCAGCAAGTGCCAGAGCAAGTCACATTTTTGGGCTCTTTGGTCAGGTTTGGAGATTCTTTGGGTGCCTCTCTAGGGTCAATTGTTTGCCTCTGGCCCTAAGCCCTGGCACGGTTGCATGTTATTGCCAGACATTGGCATGCTTGTATCTACTGAAAAGGCAGATTCTAACCTTCTCCAACCTGAGGCTCTTCACTTGGGCTAGACTTTAGATCCTAGAATTCTCACTTGCATTGTCACAACAGGCGTACTCAGGAGCAGGAGAGGCTCTCTTATAGAACAGATGGATTAGCGTTTTACATGCAATCGAAATGACAGCTGCAGAATCGGCTTGAAGACAACAATCTTGCTTTAAGCAAAGCAGCATCTAAGTGAAACAGAGAGGAAGCCATGGGGTCCTTGATGGGGCCACCAGGATCCAGTCCATCCCTTTCAAGAGATGAATCTGGCTAGAGGGGAATCATTGAGCAAGCATATTAAGGACGTAAGGTGTTTCCCAGCATTTTCTTCATTTCGATGCAACAAATGACTCCTCTGAAACCACATTGATTTTGTTATTTCTAGGCTACATTCGAATTTCTTGGCTTGAAACCAGTTGACCTCAGGGATGATCTTCTCCCACCCTGCCCTGCACAGCAGGCCTGGCCCCAAACACTTTGCATCTTCCTGCCTAGTTGAAAATGGGGTTTCAATGGATCAAACCACAACCTACCTTCCATTGTGGGAGCCTAACGTTATATTAGCATATTGTATGAAGCAAGTCAGCTCACTGAGACCTCATATCGTTTATTTGGAAGTTATATGAAGAAAAGAATTGGGTTTTTCAGGTTTAGGATTGAGTGTATTGCGTCAATGCATTGGATCTGGACTTAGTCGTTTTTTTAAAAAAAAAGTCCACTGGAATCAGTTCATTGTAACTAGAACCCATTAATTTTATAGCTTTGTTTTCAAACCTAGATTAAAGACAGTATTTTTTCAATAACTATCAAAAGATCTTAATGATCAGTAGTATAATAATTTCAACAATTAAGGAATTTCTACCTTTGACTCCAGAATCTGCTGCCTGAGGCGACTGCTTCACTGTGTCTCAAATGAAAGCCTGGTCCCCGGCTGTGCTGATAAGTCAGAACCTCCTTGGATTTTCAGCTCATTTTTTTCTCATCTCTCTTCCCCAACTTTTAATGGCTCCTTCTGGGAAGTTCATAGTCTGTTAAATTTCATTTCCAGTCGATCTGCTTTTAAAGTGAGGACTAATCTACTTGCTGATTTCGGAGGTCCTGATAATTTTAATGTGACCCTGTGTACATGGTTTTTTAAAGTCTATTTTTCTGAGAGAGTTTTTTTTAGCTTGACAAATAGCAATAGATCAACAATGAAAATACTAGAATAATAAGGACTGAGTTTCCAATATTGTAAATATTCTTGGTAAATTCTGCGACTCCTTGTAACAGATTTTTGAATAAGCATTATGCTTTATCATTTTACATATTTTCACTGACTCCGTGGCCAATGTGACCTTGTGAAGCAGCCCTTGCAATGTGTGCCCAGTCACCGGAGTCCAAACTCCACTCATTTCTTTCTTTCTTTTTTTGTCTTCATCTCTTAGTGCTGGATGCCCCCCACCAACCTTCCCAGGACTTCTTTAAACAATTGGAGCTCCTATTTTATTAAGACCTACAGGTTTGTATTGGTTTCATAACTCCTCCCCATAGAGAACAGCTACATTGTTGAGAAAGAGGGGGGACCCAGAGCGGGTTTCCCAGCTCTCCATCTACAGACCTGTGTTGCTAATAATCTGGAAAATCCCTTATGTGATGGGAGACTGATTTGACTCCAGCTGCTGATGCCTACTTCACTAGTTCTGGTTCGACTACCCTGCTGTTCAAAATTGTTTGGTTCTGAGGAAATCGCTGTTAACAGTTATATCTGCCGTGTCTCTTCCCGTATCTTAGGAATCCTGTTCAGATCTGGGGGTTTTCTTACAACCTGAGAAGATCCACCCTGGGCCAAGTGAAGGTCCAGTGAGTGGCAATTCCTTCCTGAGAGAGGCAAGGGAGTTGATTGTCTTCACATGAGATGGCATCAAATGATCTCTCAATGAATCACTTGGCTGACTGGAAGGACAGTCACCTGGGCCACTGATTGGCTCCTTTCTCTCAAGCCTAATTGAATAAACAGAATTCAGTACAGAGGCCAAATCTCACAGCAATCAGCAGCCAGTAACATCTCATTGGGCTCTGTGCACTCTTAGGAGGTCTTCTTAAACTATATTACACAAATTGCTTCCCATTTTTTTTATTTTTACACAGAATCTTTAAATAGTACAGTCCCAATAGAGTATTATTCGTTGTTCCAGAAACATGCAGCAGTGAGTGCCACAAGTGAAACGTGTTGTCCTCTCCAACTACCGCAACTGTCTCCCCACAAATACTTCTTTGTTGAGTCTCCTCCACTCAGCTTATCAGATAGATGGTGCCCCAGCGAGTGAAGCAGTTGGCTGAGAAATATTCAAACACTGAGCAGCAGCAGCAGCAGCAGCAGCAGCAGAGGTTCTGGGCAATTAAACCACCAAGAACAGAACAAGACCTGCTTTCCACTGCCGACCCCCCCTCCCTGTCATGGGTCGCAGCTACCCGCTCCCCACCAGCGCCCTCTTACCTGCATCTGCCCAGGACAGGCTGGCACAACTGAAATAAGCCAGGAGGGCTGCATTGATGTAGAGGAGCAGATCTGCCATCCTCCTCCCGCGCGAGTCCATGGTGCAGCCACATGGAAAGGGGGGCCCCTTCAGCCCCGGAGGCCCAGACCCCGCATGGGCGGGAGGAGCCGAGGGAGCCCTGGGCCCCGGGGGCGCTGCCGATCAGAACGACGCCAGCCGGCCCCGCGCCCCTGCGCGGACATTCCAGCACCACGGAGAGCTCCCGCCGCCGCCGCCTCGCTTCCCCAGCTCCTCCCGGCGAGGAAGGGCGGCAGCTCGGAGGGCCCGCGAGGGGGTCTTCTCCCTGGGCCCGAGGAAAGTTTCTCGGAAGCGGTGGGAGGCGGCTGGCTTCGGCGAGGCAAAGCTAGAGAGAGGCGGCCGGGCGGCGGCGGCGGCGGCGGCGGCGCTGGGTCTCTGTAGGCTGCAAACGTGCCGCCTCCTCCCGCATCAGTCAGGCGGCTCCATTCAGGGGAGCGCGAGGGGGAAGGGGGGAGTCCCGGAGCCTGGCCACAACGCGGCGCCCCCCGCCCTCCCCGCCAAGCCGACTCCGACTTCCTCCCACCATCCCCGGCCGAGTCACACCGCCCTCGCCTGGCGTGGAGATGTGTGCGCCGAACGCGCGGAGGGGCGGGGGGAGTCCTCAGACGGCCCCTCCCTCGTTAACCTGAGCCGGAGAGCGACAGGATTTGAAGGGGACAGGGAGCCTTTGGCGACGGCCCTTGCGCGCCGAGAAGGAAGCGCTCGACAGAGGCTCGCCTGCGGGTGTCTTGGCTGCCTGGAGGCGGAAGGAGAGCGAGGCGGGCAAGGAGGGAGCCCGGCTGGCTAAGGGAACTCTGCCTCCTCCTTCCTGGTGAAGAGAACCTCCTGGACCCCCCCCCCCTTTGGGAGACCATGCCAGGGCCAAGGGCAGCAGCGCACATGGGTAGCCCGGGCATTTGAGCACGAATAAATCCAAAGGGGTTGAGCACTATGATAGATAACAGCCTGCTAAGAGAAAGAGCAGTCAACTCGGCAGCACAGCCCCTTGTAAGGTTTCTCCCAATTTGCACCAGGAGAGGTAGAGGAGGGCAATGGCTCACATTTGGAGGAATCAGTATAAAAATTAAAAGCTGGGCTCATCAACCAGCCCAAGAAGAAGATGTGAAAGGCATTGCAGGGAGATGGGGCCAGACAGGCTCAAATTGCCACATGTTGAGGGCTTGATGAGTTCAAACTTGCCATGCTGAACTGTCAATTCCTTTCCCTCCAATAGTTCCACAACGGGGGGGGGATTCAATTGTCTCAGTGGCCACATCTGTATGAAGCTAGCCTGGCTATATGGAGCTTCTGATGATAAGGGAGAGGCCAGGGCCTTGAAAAGTACAGCAAGGCTGTAATAAAATATGGCATCCTTTTGTAAGGAGCTTCTTTCTCAAATGCACCAAGTGACTGGGGCACATGCAACAGAGAGACGCAAATAGCATCCTCAAAGGAGACCGGGAGCGGCATGCGCCCCCTGGATGGTTTGTCATGCGATCTGAGGACTTCCTTATTGGACCTGTCAGATCCTGGGGGTCCTGCCAGGAAGAGTCGGACGACAGGAACCAGGGCTTCATCTGTTGCTTGCTCTCAATTCAAGAAACATCTCCTTCTTAATGCAAGAAAGAGGTAGTCTTAAAATGCCTAATTTAAGATTGTATTATGAAGCCGCTGCCCTCTCAGCAATTACAGATTGGATAAATTTAACGGAGGAAAAGATATTGAATATTGAAGGATATGGTCTGGTCTACGGCTGGCATGCTTATCTATTGTATGACAAGAAAGTAGATAAGACTTTTAAAAGTCATATATTAAGAAATGCTCTATTGTGTGTCTGGAAAAAGTATAAATATAAATTAAATGATAAGTTATCAATATGGACAGTACCCAGACACGCGATAGAGAATATAAATTTGGAGCAAAAGCAAGATAAGTTTACATATAAGGAACTCCTTTATAAGGAAGGAGTTAGATTACAATTAAAATCTATGGAGCAATTAAGAGAAGAAGAAATTATTAAGACTTGGTTTCAATATGGTCAGCTGCAGACGAGATGGAGAGAAGATCAAAAAAATGGTATTTTGCAGCAGGATGATAATTTGATAAAGCAAATAAGAGATAAAGGTCAAATGCATATAAAAAGGTTGTATAATGTATTAGTGGAAATAGATTCAGAAACAGAGCTAGTCAAGGATTGTATGATAAAATGGGCACAAAACATAGGTGAATCAATAATGATGGAAACATGGGAAAAGATATGGGTTAGAAATGTAAGATTCACACAAGCTCAAAATTTAAGAGAGAACTTTTATAAAATGTTTTACAGATGGCATTTAGACCCAAAAAAACTAGCCTGTATGTACCCAAATTTACAACCTAAATGTTGGTGATATGAGTGTGAAGATGCCACATATTTTCATATATGGTGGACATGTAAAAAAATTAAGGTGTTTTGGATAAAAATATGGTGGATTATTCAAAATATTTTAAGGAAAAAAATTAAATTTACACCACAGTTTTTTCTGCTGGGAATAGTTACGGATTGTACTGTAATAGAGACTAAGTTGGTTTTGAACTTAATAACAGCTGCCAGGTTACTGGTGGCACAGTACTGGAAGAAGGAAGATCCACCCACTATTGAGGAATGGACACTAAAAGTTGTGCATTTGGCAGAGATGGCAAAAATTTCATCATACCTTAAAGACCATTCAAATGAAAGATACATATCGGAATGGAGAAGATGGATTGACTATATACAAGAAAAGTATCCGAACAAGAAGATACATATAGCTTATGAATGAATTATTTTTATGTAGTTCATGTTTATAGTTTGTTGAGTTATAAGGAGTTAAAGACTTAGGGAGAATATGAATGTTATAATTTGTTAGCATATTTTAGCTTTATGTTTGTGAATGCTATACCCTGTGCCTGTTCTGGGAGGTCTAGGGAGGGGGGTGGGGGGGAAGTGGGGAGGGGGAAAGGGTGGGTGGGGAAAAATGTTTGTATTTTTTATAAAACTTTTCAATAAAAAAGATATATAATGCGATCTAGATTTGCCATAGCTTTCCTCCCCAGGAGCAAGCGTTGTTTAATTTCTTGGCTGCAGTCCCCATCTGCGGTGATCTTGGAGCCCAGGAAAATAAAATCTTTCACTACCTCCATTTCTTCCCCATCTGTTTGCCATGAATTGAGAGGGTTAGATGCCATAATCTTAGTTTTCTTAATGTTGAGTTTCAAACCAACTTTTGCACTCTCCTTCTTCACCAGTATCAAGAGGCTCTTTAGTTCCTCTTCGCTTTCTGCCATTACAGTGATATCATCTGCATATCTGAGGTTGTTGATATTTCTCCCGGCAAACTTAATTCCAACTTTTGATTCATCTAGCCCCACCTTTCTCATGATGTGCTCTGCATGTAAGTTAAATAGGCAGGGTGACAATATACAGCCTTACCGGACTCCTTTATCAATTTTGAATCAATCAGTGGTTCCGTGTCCAGTTCTCACTGTTGCTTCTTGACCCACATATAGGTTTCTCAAGAGACAAATAAGATGGTCTAGTACTCCCATCTCTTTAAGAACTTGCCACAATTTGTTGTGATCCACACACTCAAAGGCTTTAGCATAGTCAATGAAGCAGAAGTTGATGTTTTTCTGCAACTCCCTAGCTTTCTCCATGATCCAGCGTATGTTGGCAATTTGATCTCTAGTTCCTCTGCCTCTTCGAAATCCTGCCTGTACTTCTGGTAGTTCTTGATCCACATACTGCTGGAGCCTAGCTTGTAAGATTTTAAGCATAACTTTACTAGCATGTGAAATGAGTGCAATCGTGCGATAGTTTGACCATTCTTTGGCATTGCCTTTCTTTGGAATTGGAACTGACCTTTTCCAATCCTGTAGCCACTGTTGAGTTTTCCAAATTTACTGGCAAATTGACTGTAGCACTTTTACTGCATTGTCTTTTAAGATTTTGAATAGCTCAGCTGGAATACTGTCTCCTCCACTAGCTTTGTTGTTGCTCAAATTTCCTAAGGCCCATTTGACTTCACATTCTAGGATGTCTGGCTCAAGGTCAGTGACCATGCCATCGTGGTTATCAGGAACATTAAACTCATTCTTGTCTAGTTCTGTGTAATTTTGCCACCTCTTCTTAATCTCTTCTGCCTCTGTTAGGTTCCTGCCATTTTAGTCCTTTATCATGCCCATCTTTGCATGAAACGTTCCCTTCATATCTCCAATTTTCTTGAAGAGATCTCTGGTCCTCCCTATTCTATTGTTTTCTTCTATTTCTTTGCACTGTTCATTTAAGAAGGCATTCTTATCTCTTCTCTTATCTATTCTCTGGAACTCTGCATTCAATTGGGCGTATCTTTCTCTTTCTCCCTTGGTTTTTGCTTCCCTCTTTCCTCAGCTATTTGCAAAGCTTCCTCAGACAGCCATTTTACTTTCTTGCATTTCTTTTTCTTTGGGATGGTTTTAGTTGCTACCTCTTGTACAATGTTGCGAACCTCCATCCATAGTTCTTCAGGCACTCTGTCTATCAGATCTAATTCCTTAAATCTTTTTGTCACCTCTACTGTATATTCACCAGGGATATGATTTAGTTCATACCTGAATGGCCTAGTACTTTCTCCTTTCTTCAATTTAAGCCTAAATTTTGCAACGAGAAGCTCATGATCTGAGCCACAGTCAGTTCCTGGTCTTGTTTTTACTGACTGTATAGAGCTTCTCCATCTTTGGCTGCAGAGCACATAGTCAATCTGATTTCTGCGTTGACCATCTGGTGATGTCCATGTGTAGAGTCATCTCTTGGGTTGTTGGAAAAGAGTGTTTGCTATGACCATTGTATTATCTTGACAGAATTCTATCAGCCTGTGCCCTGCTTCATTTTGTACTCCAAGGCCAAATTTGCCTGTTATTCCGGTTATCTTTTGGCTTCCTACTTTTTTTTTTTTTAAATTTGATTTATATGCCGCCCTTCTCCGGAGACTCAGGGCGGCTTACAATGTGCTCAGCAAAACTTTAGCATTCCAATCCCCCCTGATGATAAGGACATCATTTTTTGGTTTTAACTCTATAAGGTGCTGTAGGGCTTCATAGAACCGGTCAATTTCATCCTCTTCAGCACCAGTAGTTGGGGCATAGACTTGGACTACTGTGATATTGAATGGTTTGCCTTGGATTCGAACTGAGATCATTCTGTCATTTTGGGGATTGTATCCCAGTATTGCTTTGCCTACTATTTTACTGACTACTAGTTGATGTTATACCCAGATGACACATGGATTGATTAATAATGTACAGGAATGTAAGAAGAGATATAAAGTAAAAAAGAAATTTGAAATGAAGATGTATGTGAATAGAAATCAGGGCTGCTCGAATACCATTTCAGATTGAATTGAAAAAGGAAACAACAAGGGAGTGGAAAAGGGGAGAGGAGTAGAGAGGGTGAGATAGGAGAGTTGGGAGTGAGAAGAGGAGAAAAGAAGAACGGGAAAAGGAGGGGAAGAAAGAAGGGGGAGAGAGGAGGAGAGAGGGTAAGAAAGGGAGGAAGAAGAGAGGAGAGCGGAAAGAGGACAGGAAGTAGAAAAGGGAAGGAGAGGGGAATGAAGAAAGTAGAAAGAAACAGAA